TCTCTCTCTCACGCTCTCACTCTCTCTCTCACACACACACACACACACACACACACTCACACACTCACTCTGATCCTTTCTGGTCAAATTAAAATAATAAATAAATAAAATAAATGGGGTTAATTAAAATAATTGTTTAAAAAAATATACTCCCCCTAATCAAAAAGTCTCATAAGTAGGATCACTTCTCACAATGTAAAAGCGAAACCCCTCTGTTCAGCATTCAAAGCTTTCCACAATAGAGCTTCCCTTCCTTTCCAATTCGTTTTTACTTTATGCCCATGCTTTCCTGCCCTTCAGCAAAACTAGAGGGCATGCCACTGTTGTTCATGCTTTGGGCAATAATTTCTCTTCTCTGCCCCGGGGAAGCTTTCTATCCTCTATCTTTGTATGCTCTTTCGATCAGTCCCTTCAATGTCCCATTGCAATAATCAAGCCCACCTAGTTTAAAACTGTCTCAAATTTTGTAATTGCTTGTGCCACGTCTTACCTCCCATGTGAAAGTATAAACCCCTTAAAAGTAACAACTATAGGGGACTAGCAGGTGGTGTAGTGGCTAGGGCACTGGACACTCCCACATGGTTGGCCATAGTTTGAGTCCCAGACCTGGTGGCTTGCTTTCTCACTTTCCCCCTCTTTCTCTCTCACCATGTGTTTCTCTCTGATCAAATTTAAATAAATAAATGAATAAATAAAATTAAATTAAAAATAATTCTTTTTAAAAAAGTGACAACCCTGACTAACTTTTTGTCTTTTTTTTTTAGAGGATTTTGCCATTGGACATGTGCACTCACTAGAGAGAAAGACAGAGACAGAGACAGTGAGAGGGAAAGTGAGAAATCATCCTCCCATGGGGGATGGCCACAATGCCATTCCTTCTTCTCCACTCTTCTCCTGGGATCTTAGGTGCACACACATACACACCCATCATGATTTTTAAGCAACCAGGTCTAGGACTCAACCCCAGCCTGCCATGTGGGAGTCTGGCAACATAACCACTATGCTTCCTGCTAGCCCCAAATAATTTAGTTTTTTAAGTCAAACCCAAAGTCTAACAAATAGAATGCCCAACATGTAGAACGTGCTCAGCAAATATCAAGAGAAAAAAGATAACAAGTTGGCATAATTCCTACCTGAGATGTCGAAGCATCAAAACCTCCGCTGACATTTCCATTACAGTCTTCACAGGAAAAGTGTCTGTCTTTGTTCACAGCACTAAAAGCAAGCATGGGTTAAGGAGAGACGTTCAGAAGCGGTGTGTACGTGAGAAACAGCCCTGGGCCAGGAGCCAGGAGCCAGGAGACCCTGCACCGCTAACACATAGGAACCCTTGGGAAAGCAACTTAACACCTCCGGGCTCGTTTTCTTATCTGTAACTATAGACATTGTTTCTATAAAATCTCTCCTAGCTCAAATTCTGTGATATGACTTCATAAACCATTTGATCAACTGATTAAAGCCATATGTTAATGGCCCGGGGATGTTACAAAGACATTCCTTCTGATCCCCTCAAAGTTAAGATCTGGAAGGCTCCTACATAACAAGCTAAGAAGTCTTCTCTATTAAAGACTATAACTTTAGGCTGGTGTAGTAGAAAAGCTAAGCTTGGTAATTATTTACAAAACAGATGCTGAAAGACCAGCAGGTAGCATGGTAGTTAAGATGCTGGACTCCCACATGGCCAACCGTGTTTCAAGTCCTGGACCTGGTGGCTTGTTTTCTCACTTTCCCTCTCTGTGTGGCTCTCTCTGGTCAAATTAAAATAAATAATTCTCTTTTTAAAATTATTAAAAAAACAACAACAACAAAACAGATGTTGAGTACTATCTTTACTAAATACTAAACATAAATGGTAGAGCTAAAGACTAAGTGAGGGCAGAGGATGCCCAAGGAGGACAAGGCCTGGCCAGAGAAAATGCAGCCAATCACTACCTCCTAACTACTGGAAAGGCTTCATGGACTGAAGTGAGAAGTCTCAAGTAGTTCCAGTTTTCTGGGGGATAGAGAATTATTTTTAGCAGCCAGAATACCCAGCAGCACCTCAAAAAGATTTACTTACCAACCAGAGTGCTTCATAGCATCAAGCAGGAGTTTGACATATGGACCTAAAAAGATATGGATTCAATGAAGTATACTAATTGAAAAAAACATCAACAGTTAAATTACCCAAAAAGCAGTCTAAGATATTATCAAGGGTCAGCTCTGTGACCTGATGGTTGAGAGTAGGACCCCACATGGCTGATTATGCATTTCAAATCCCACCCTGATGGCTTGAAAACACACCAGGCATGTGAGCATGCGTGCCCAGAATGCAAAGGAGATGGAGAAATGGAGGAGACACTGAAGTGTGACCATGCCCCACTGAAAGGTACTTTCTTCTCCCTCTCTCTCTCTGTCTCTAGCAAGTATATGCACCCTCTGGTGGGTTTTTTGTTTGTTTGTTTGCTATAGGGTACGTGCGCTCACTGGAAAGAGACAGAGTGAGCAGGAAAATGAGAAATCACTCCCCCAGCAGGGGGGAAGATGGCCACATCGCAATCCCTTCTCCTCCATTCTCCTCTCAGGATTTGGGGCATGCATGCACACATGCCTGGTGTGAGTTTAAGCCACTGAGTCCGGGACTTGAGCCACGGTCAACTACATAGGAGTGCAGTGACATAGCCATTATGCCAACTGCTGGTCCCAAGGAAGTGCTTTGAATTTCAAATTTTTTTCATATTTTGGAATATTTTCATGGAGTAGTAATAATGAGAGATCTTGGGGATGGGATTCAAGTCTAAACATGAAATTTATTTAAGTTTAATATACACCTCATACATATAGCCAGAAGGTTTTTTTGGAGAGGGCTATAGGGCCCGTGCGCGCACCAGAAAGACAGAGACAGAGAGATGGAAAGCAAGAAATCACTCCCCAGCGGGGATGGCCACACTGCAATCCCTTCTCCTCTGTTCTTCTCTCAGGATCTTGGGCACGCACACACACGCGCCCACAATACTGGCACTTGACATCCATAAAATCTATTCTTCACGGGGCCAGCAGGCGGCATGATGGTTAAGACACTGGATCCCACATGACTGACTCCGCAGGTCAAGCCTCGGACCTACAATCTGAAAAAAACACCAGGTACTGTGGATGTGTACCCAAAATCCCTAGAGGATACTGGAGAAGGGATTGCAGCGTGGCCATCCCCACTGAGGAGGTGAATTCTCACCTTCCCTCTCTGCCTCTCTCCTGTAAGTGCACACACCCTATGCAAAATGTCTAAAATAAATATATAAATAAATAACGATTTTTTAAAAAACCTATTCCTCACAATTTTAAAAGAAGTATTTTTACCCTTCTCTCCTCTCATCCACTTTTATATTTTACAGCTAAGGACAGAGGCAATCAGAGAGCTTAAGTCACTTTTCTACATCAAATAAGGTCAGAGTTCAAACCCAGGTCTAACTCTGCAGCCCATGTTGATTCCACTCCACTTTGAAACCCCTAAAAAGCAGCGTCCTTCCTCATCTTTGTATCTCCCACCACCACAACCTAGGAGGCATTCAACACATAGTTGTACAGTAAATGCAATATAGTCATTCACTCTTCCAGTTCCTCCTCCCACCTCCCTTGACTCTCTATAGGCAGGTAATGTCAAGAAGGTTGGGAAACATTTTGTAGTTGGTTTTTGAACTGAGACTGGTGGGCTATGATTAGTAAACTTGCTCTGGGACAAATATATGTAAGATTTTCTATCTGTAATGAAGTAAATTTAGGACGTCTATGTCCATGTGAAGAAGATAAGAAATCTCCAGTACAAGGACCCTGGGACTGGAAGAAATCGGTCAGTGGGTAGCTGGGTGCTACTGAACCCTGAGCCGTGGGTCTTAAACTTTCCCCCCTCAGAGAATATAATGAGGCGGTGAACTATCTCCCAACAAAATGCACTTAGGTACATGCATGTACAGAGAGAGAGCGATTCCCCGGACCGTTTCAGGGGTTTCTACACTCGGAAGCCTATCCATGCATGAAGGTTAAGAACACCGCCCAGTGAAAGCTAGGTTTGCAAAAATGTTGGTTTTGCACTGCCAGCTGTAAGCTGCTCTTTAAAACCCTGCCTCACCCAGCCCTAAAGTCCCGTGCTGCTGCATAACTTATATAAGAAACCAGAGGCTGTCAGACCAGCGAGTATGAATGAAAAGGGCAAACTCCTACCCACTCCTCCTTCATCCCACAAAGAAGAGCAGTGCTGAAAAAGCTTCTAGCCCCCTCTGATGAGGACACTGGGACCCGCGTCCTCGTCCTGCCCCAGGGTAATGACCGTGGCCAACCTGCACGTGGGCTGAGCCGCAGACCCCCGGCGGAGTGGTGCCCAGCTGCTCATAGACACCCCCCTTTCCCGGCCGACCCCCAGCCCCCAGGTCCCGGCTCCTACTTGTGCTAAGCGTCTTCACCAGCATGAGCTGGCACTTCTGGTTGTTGGTGAAGAAGCTGGAGAGGAGCCCTTGCTGGGGCTGCCCCTGGTCCATACGCTCGGGGAAGACCTGGCACGCGACGTGCTGCGGCTGCTCCCCAGCCCCGGGGTCTGGCCTGCGCTCGTCCCCAGCTCCCG